GATACCAAGACAGACACTCTCCTTGCAAGTGGTACAAAATCCAATTTGAACTGTAACTAGCAAGTTTTTGTTTTGTTTCAAGGTCTCCTCTTTCTATTAATGTTTACCTGACTCAGACTTTGGCATACATTATCTAATCAGGCTGAATCCATGTTACTTAAGAGGTTTTTCTTCACAGCAAAGCAGCTACAATCCAAACACAATACATTTGATCTTCACAGCACCTACAGGTCTGTATAAACTGGGTACTACTAGGTTATGTATAACTATTTTAAAAGGAGGTGTAATGGGAAAAGATAAAAAAAAAAGTAGTACAATGAAGTCAGTGAAATAATCATGAAAGTAAACAGCATCTTTTACCTGTTATGCTGTAATGAAGACTATTACAAAGACTTTATGGTTATTTCACTTTGAAGTATGGATAACCTGAAGCGTGCTTTAATGAAAACAGGGAATCAAGGCAGAATTGGGCAGTCTTACCTAAAAGCCATCGTGAACAAGTTTCCACCATGTGTAGGTTTTGCACTACTGTCCTGCTTCTAAGAAACAGATCCTATTCAACTGTGTGTACAGGCCAGTAAGTACCATTCTTTCCAGTAAACTTATCCGCACCAGTCACTTATGCCCGTTTAGGTTAATATATTTGAAAGAGAAAACTTCCATCTGTATTTTTAATTGGTCTTTATCAAGATGAGGTTTTCTGAAAAGCAGTTATACCAGAATTTTAAAAATAAACTTCTCTGAATGCTTGAGACTGAGAAAAACATTCAAACAACTAGGTGTAGTGTTCATTTCTAATGCAGGCAATATGAATATAAGCCAAAAAGTGAACAGACATTCATATATTGGATCTGCTTTCCCCATTTACTTTCAATCCAGCTTATCACATTAAGAAATATGATCCCAGGTTACTATCCTGATATAGCTGGACTCAGCAGTTGGACCAGATGATTGTTGTAGGTCCCTTCCAACTGGAACTTTCTATTCTATTCTATATTTGTAGAGAAGAAAATAATACCAACAAAAGCTGTATGATTCGCAGCTTTTGGCAAAAGCTTCCATTGATCCATTTACCTCCAGTAAGAACTACGACAGATCTCCCAAAGGCATCAGAACATTGAAAGCATGTTAACAAAGCTATCTTTTCAGAAAGGTTTGAATTCAAAATATACCGACCACACAGAAAGTTTATAAAACAAAGGAGATGTCTCCCTCTGGTACAATCACGATAGAAAAATAAAGAAAAAAAGTATTCAGGGGAACTAGGGCAGAATACAGGTCACACACACTTAAACTTCAGAAATAAAATTTTGCTTTCTTTGCTGATTTTATGACAGCAGGTGATCAAAGCATGCAGAGGCACAGTGCAGCGAAATCTCCTCTGTATGACCCACCCCCCCTCGCTCTCACAGAATAACTTTGACTTCAGCATTGACTTCATGGGGAGCACAGATGCTCCAGCTGACCCAGCGGCTGGGCCCAGCCTCACATAATTAAATCCCACTTTTGCTAAGTAGAGCTACTTGGCAGGAATGGAAGACATGAAACAAAACCAGAATAAATACTTGAATGAAACATGTATTTTGCCTCAACTGTTGTTATTATTTTACCTTTTCCACCGAGAAAAACATAGGATTAGGTTATTATTCCCCAGCAGAAAGCAAAAATACTTCCCATCCCTAATAATTTTCAGGTTTTCAGCTATATTTATAGCAATTAATTTCTTCAATCATCGAATGTGTCTCTCCAATGCTGCCTCTAACTGCATTTAACCAATTTTCTTTCACTACAGTGAAAACAAATACGTATCCCCATCCCCTCAAACATATCTGGAAAAGAGTTGTCAAAAATTGTAGCAAATTAAGAACAAATTGTGAAGATCATTTTCATGTTCTTGAGAATTTGTTTCAAATACACATTTCAAGAAGCAAGAGCTACTCCTGGAAATTACTGTAAAATTTGGCAGACTGCATTAAGTAAAAGTATGCTGTCTAAATAAACCAGCACTATTACTTGATAACTTCTTGACTAATGTTAATGAAATATAAATCCATACTGATTCAAGGTCACTCCAGTTAACTAGTGTAACAGCTGTTTACATAGATAGCAGCAACAAACAGCTGTTTTGGCAGAATGAGATATTTATGACTAGCACAATGACACAGTGTAGAGAAATACAAGCCTGTTATGAAAGCAGAGGTCTTGAGAAGGGGAGACATAGGATATGGCATAGAGAAGTACAGGCATGGGATGATAAAGAGATAGGGACCGGGCTTGGCACTGGAAACCCCGTGCCATAAACAGCTCAGCAATGGTCAGTTATAAAAACTGCACACCTGGAGCTGGACAAAATTTAGGGGTAACAAGAAGAACACAAAAATAGTATCTAACATACACAAATGGCACTGTGTATGGTAAATTCAGATGTAAGGTGTCTCTCAGCAGAAGAAAGAAATCATCAACATGAACATCATATTCCTCCCAGCACAGGACTCCAGACGCTCATAACTTGCTGAAACCTCCCCACTCATCACCAACACAAGCATGAAATCACCAAGCTTAGTACTCAGAAGTATAGTGGAAGGGTGAGCAAAACACCAGGAAAAAGGGTAGAAATGAAGAAGTTTGTGTGTTACTATTTTAATTACGTTACTGCTATTATTGACGCTTTTTCTGTATGTAAGTACTCTACCTGCATTAATATTCTTTGTTTTACTGTAAGAGTTAAATCTAGAAATGATGATTCTTGAATTAGATAGACCATTAAGAACTCCATTACACTAGCAATAAATTCTTGGCTTTATATACATGTACATGCATATGCATATACATATATGTAAATACATATGTCTATACATACATGTAAATGTGTGTATACATACGTAAAATATAAATTTTAAAAAAGAAGAAAAGGTGTGTTTCCTCTTTGCCCGTAAGAAGATTTTGACCATAACATTTTGACCCTAAGACAGGTAAAACTATTTAAAAAATGTGAGCATACTTTCTCAAATATCAGGGCTTTCCAAAGTGTCCTGAAGTTCATCACCAAACAACTAATGAATCCAGAAATAAGCAAACACTTATGAATATTTAAACCAAAACAACACCTACAAATTATGGTACTACTTTAATCAAATATATTTGGCAAACTACAAGAAAACCCACAGAACTGATGTTGACTGGAACAGTACTCCAACTGTGAAATACAGTCAGTCTCAGAAGCTTATGGAGTACTTCCAAGAAAACTACAAAACTAAGAGTACAGATTTTAGCTAAGTATAAATTGCCATCATCATTCTATAGATAAATGTTAGCCCATATATCCTCACAAGTTTTTGTTTGTTTGTTTGTTTGTTTTAAAATGAAGCATTAATCTGGAGCATCCTGTCATGACAATAAAGCAAAACCAGACTTAGAATGAAAGAAGAAACCTGCAAATTTTGTGAAGAAAAAGCTAATGGCTACCATATTTTACATACAGAATAGTATTATTGCAGCCAAAGCATTAAAACCTACCAGCCAAAAGAAACAACAAGAGATTTAGATAACTTTCCAATGAAGTTTACTCAAATTTACAAAGAAAGTAATTACCAAGTTCTGTCAATGGACTTTTTGGAGCATCAGAGATTCTGGATCCAGAAGGAAGTGGCTGTATTTCATTAGAAGCTATGATAAAAAAAATAATCAAGGCTTTACTTGATTAAGAATATTACAAGACACAGTATGGATCTGTATTTTGGCTTATAAACCACCTACTCCTGAAACCAATGATATTTAATAAAAAAGAAGACGAGTTCCAACCTAGGAAAAAAACACATAACTTTGTCACTTAAAAAGGTGTGGAATAAAAATGAAATCACCTTTTCCCTAGTCATAATATAAAGATCCATGAGTCACAGGAATTTGATAATGAACATCCATCAGTAACTATGACCACCTAGTTTGAAATTAAGCAGTAAACCATCCTGATGAAATTTCCTATTTTAATCTTTAAAAGCATGGCAAAAAACAAAAAATGTTGATTATGCTTAAAAAAAAACTGATTAAAAGTTAGAATGAAAATTAGATGCTTTAGTTTCAGTAAATTCTGGAAATCTGCTTGCAACTGTAAATGAAAAAAGACAAAAGAGAAAGTATGACGTTAACATGAATCAATAGGATTATGTAAAAATATGATTATTGAGAAGCATTAGCAACCCTCTTCATGGGAAGATCTGTATTTCAGTCCTGCAAATGCTGATATCTTTATCATACATCATTCTGTATCTATGCCATCTGTGCTTTAGAAAAATCTAATCAAAGTTTAAAAAAAACCAAACAAAAACCAAAACCTCAACTTTAGATTTGTGTTCATAATTTTGCATGGCTTGGGTATTAAAATACAGGCAACAAAATCAACATTGAAGAATTTAGAATTCTGAATGCAAGAAGTAAGTAGATGCTTCTCCAGATCACAAAACTAACAGTACTACTACTTAGATCAGAAATCTCTCATTCTGAGACATCTCTATGAAAATCAGTAGAGCTCTTTTTTCCTCCAGGACAAATACAATTATATCATGTCACATGCAATATAAAATTTTCCTTTTGCATCACAATTGATGCTCCCTAAATGAACCTGTAATCAGATGAAAATCCAGGAGGTAATTATTTCAATTCTATCACTGAGGTTAATTTTACTGATGGAAATTTTATGTGATGTCAATCATGCAGATCACATAGACAGAAAGCATTACTTTGAAAAATAACATTAAATCACCCAGTCAAATCTGCTAGCAATAATCATATGTATAACAGCCACAGTTCAACCAGAGCTATATGTATCCTGCTTTACATTTCATGTGTGAGCGACTGGAAACACAAAGGGAACCAGAAATTTTTAACTGGGACCTCCTTTGGAGTCAATACAAAGGGGATGCAGCAAGTAGTAGAAACATTCTGCTGGAGATGAAAAAAGCATTTAATGTACAAAGAAGGTAAAAAGCAGCAAAATTAGTTACCCAGTATGTTTTGAGTTTGCACCAATTCAGGTTTAGGCGTTGATTTAAATTCCTCAGGTCCATGTTTTTTCTCAGACTGAGCTAGAAGAAAGAAGCTTTATTTAATTTTAAATCCCTCTGAGCTTTTCTTTATCTACTGCCCAAAGCCCGCTGCTTTTCTTATCACCATTTTATGCCACCTAATTAGAGTAATTTCTGCAGCAGCTCGACTCCATCATGATTAATATTTTTTGTTTTCAGATGTGAAGTCTATAAGATGTTTTGGATTTATTTTGTTGCAGCTTTACATAAGCAAAGGAAAATATAAGTAACGAAGAGCAAAGCTAAGATAAGAATCTCACACTGTACTTGTGTTACAGCCTCCCAAATTCGTTATGATATACATTATAAACAAGATCCATTACATCACAAAGTGTATTTACAAATATTTTCCCTGCTATTCTGGATTTTTTTTTAATCCTTCTAATATAAAAATTATCCAGAAAAGAATAAAGATTCACCTATAATACTTCAGCTCTTTCATTTTTCTAGTAATAATAGGCTTCTGACTTTTATTCATTCTTCTAATTCTGCATCTTCAAAATAAGGCACAGGCAGTTTATTAAACAGCCATTAAATGTACCTAAACTGAATTGCTGACTTTATTTTAATAAACTAGTTCATAATTGTAGTCTTCCATCTGTTTCACATAACATTTAATTCCGATGGTATGTAAGTCAAGATCACTTCTTTCCTCTCCATCTTGCTGGATGTCCCATAGTGTTTAATCAATCATACAGTACACAAAACTGGTAATCGCAGATTATAAAATGACAAAGCTTATTGATATGGAACACAGGATGGTAAGGTCTCAGCCTTGAATGTGATAAGAGCATGAATTCCTTCCACAGAGCAAACTGCACAGTATTTACACAGTTGGTATTGAGAGGAGATCGTTAATATTGGTGATCAGCATCAATACAGCATTAAGTTTTCGTATTCATTCAGTTTAATAAAATAACACTTTCTTTCTGAGATACAATAGACAAGAGTAACTTTTGTTTTTCCAGCATGCTCTCCATGCTTTTTCCACAATCTACTACGCATGCTTCAAGAAAGAACTGATCATGTAGCTTTATAAGCTTCTTATTTAATTGCCAGAAGAGAACAGGCTGTTTTCCAGATTCTAAATAGTTACATAGATGCTACTTCACTTACAACTATTATACTATTTTCTGTTTCAGAGTATGGTGCTTTTCAGTGCCACAAAAGTTGGAGTCTCCATAGACGCTGCCTTAATTAGGACCCAGTTCAGCTTCTACTAAGTCAGTTACAGTGCTGTTACTGTCATTAGTGGAAGAAGGATTTCCTTCTACAGAGAAGTTAAAGCAATTTATCTCTATGAGGATTGTGGGAGAAAATTCACCCACAGAGACACAGAAACAACAACTAACAAACCCATACCTCAGAAGTACTTCAAAAGCTAACATTTCTCATTGGTGAAATGTAATCATGAAAAAAAAAACCACCAAACAAAAAAACACCAAAAGCAAATACAGAAATTTAGAACTCATTATGCTTTGGGGTTTTTTAGTGGTCAGATGGTTTACACTCACACGAAGCCATTTGTCTTCGTCAGTCGCTTGTCAGCTAAGTTAGCTAAGCAAGCTGAACAAGAAAAAGCATGCCTAGAATTTGGACAAAAGAAACCAAGCTCTACACTGTTTTGCACAGAACGTTGTAGGGATGACGTGAAACAACAGCAGGCATTTTTGTAAAAAAAGATACAGGAAGCAGAAAGTTTAGGCTTTGAAAGCTAAATTAGAGAAAAAGAAACACCTCTGACTTCTCCAGGGCACCAGGTAAACTAGGATTAATGTGGTGGTTCAATGGTAGCTGCAAAGTAAATGGTTAAAACGACCAAGCAAGGTAAGTTACTATGACGGCATGGAATACAGCAAGAATGCATTCAGGCAACATTTCTTAAACTATTTTTCCTCTAACTTCTCTTGACCCTCTCATTAATGTTCCTCTTCCCCCACAACTGGAATTAAGACATTCTGATGGAAGCCATAATCTCACTCCTTCTCATATCCCACACAAGCACAAGGAAAGCCTTCAGGGGCCAGAAGGAAGACAGGAGGAACAGAACTTGGGAAATGCGGCAACAAAGGAGTTATTCCTACTAAACATTAACCCTAGTTTGGATTCACAGGTGGTACTTTTCTTTCAAGCCAATTCTCTATTTCACAAATCTGCTTTGATAAATTTCTGGTACAATCCCTTACATGAAGAAATAACTTGCTCTTTTTTCTTTAAACTAGTTCTTCCATGTCCTAGACAAATGTGCTGATATTCCTAACTTGGTTAGCTCCACTTTCCCTGTGAAGTTAAAAATAAAAAGGCTCACGCTTGATTCAACTGTGAGAAAAACTGTAGTGGTAGTTTGAGGTACATTAGACAGCATTTTAAAGATTGGGGGAAAAAAAGCATTATGACCTTGTGCTGTTGTGTTAAGAATAAATTAGTCCTAAGTGGAAAGTATTGTAACAAGCCTGGCAAAAACAAAGCCTGAATGACCTTACTAACCAGTCTTTCCATGGAAGTGCATGCCAAGGGAGGGAAGGCCTGAAATTAAAAAAATGATTGGATGCCTGGCTGACAAATACACCAAAAAAAGGCACGCCACATCACAAAACACACCCTTTGACAAAGACCCAGTGGAATACAAGAGTGGCCCAGCTCATGGAGCCCCTCAGATGGTCTGCTTGCTGACATACTTCAAGCTCCTTTCTTCCCTTCTTGCATGATTGATGACACAATGGCTGCTGCAGTACACAGCTCCTTTTAAATTAGCGTTCTGTTGCCACTTCTGGCACCAGTCCTTAAACCTTTAACAGCAAATAATTACTATGCCTTAGTCAAAGAATCCAGTATGATTTTCAAATAGGGAGGTCTGAATGAAATATAACGAAGTAGATCCTATTGCTAAACTCAATTAATTGTGCCTATATATTACCCTGTCTCTCAAATGCAACCCTTGCAAAAGGCTGGTACTCAGATCTTTTGCTTAAGTTACTTGTGAAAGTCTGGCTCAAATGTGTAAATATTCAAGTTTTTTTTGCATATGCAATGGCTAGACAGAAATTACACTCAAAGAACTTATTTTTTCTTTTACAGGATTGACATTCATTTCCCTGTTTCCTGCAACTCTCTTTTTTTCTCTTTAACTGAAACCATAATGAATACATTCTTTAATGTAAATAGTGTGACATACTCATACTTTTACATGAGACACTGGTGCTGTGATCAACAAAGAATGACTGAATGGAATGGTCACCACAGAAAAAGAGACATGGAAGCAAAACCACAGAGGAAGCATGAAGTGGAAAATGAAAATTATTCTAAATATTTCAGTAACACACTATCCAACTTCATAAACATGTAATTCTGTGCTATGTCTAGATATGACGATGTTTATGGTCAGAATTACTGCATGCCAAGCACATAAACATAATTACAGAACACAAAGGAAAGGAAATGGAATGAACTGATTCTCTCCTCCCCAGGTGATATATCAATTCTGGTGCCAGATTTCACACTGTTTACCTCATTAGCCGGTAAATTCCAGGACAAGGAATGATGTATTTTGATTAGATGAATGCAATCCTGAGGACTAGGGATTTTGCGGGAGAGCCAATTACATACATTTATGCATTCAGTTCTCATTTTCACAAAATGGCAAAGTTCTATAAAATATATTTGTAGATTGCTTGTTCTGCAGTTACTTAGACAAGGTAAATCATTTAGTAAAATAACTGCAGAATTTAAGTCCACAAGAGACCTCAAACTGTAAAACAAAAAAGAAATTAAAAAAAAAATCTTTACAGTTTTTTAACAAGTATACACAAATTTCCAATTAGAACCAAGCTGTTTATTACACATATGCTAAACTTGTAAAGTTCAGAGCCCCTGTTGATAATAAATTCCTGTGGAGGAGCATCTTTGTTTTCCTCTTAATGCTTAGGATGAACAGAAAAGAGCTATCCATATGAAGGTTTTGCAGAAAGGAACCGATGGTTAAAAATAGAATTTGGCAAATACACTTATCTATTGAGTGGCAAATAAAATTCTGCAAACATTTTCAGAGAAAAAAATTGATGGATTGTTTAATCTAAAATATAATTGTCAATCATTACGTGATTTTGCTACAATACTTGATCCTACATCTCTTTTGTTCTCTACATACTCTATGGGAGGGGTTGGTTGGTTGGTTTGAATTAAAGACTGAGTTGGCCTGATGATGTAAAGTATGGTATCTTTGATATACTTAATGAATAAAATAAATACAGTCATATTTAATAGCAATATCTGTGTGAATCATGTGATGTCAAAGGAATAACATGCTACACCATTTCAGCCAGCCAGGAAATACTTCATAGATGGAATAGAGTAATGCCAACAAGATCACATAATATGACTAAACTAAACCAAAGCAAACCTTCACTGTATTGTTTCCTCAAATTATTTTTTCATTTTAAAGTCTTGCCACCATTCAACCTCCTTTCTCCCTTTCAGCAAAGAAGCTGGCAGAAGTCAACTATTGTCTCTAATGACAGCAGAATCAAGACTTCAGTCTCAGTTATAGGATAAAAGCCAGACTACAGAAAATGTAGGTGTATGCCTACTTAAACAATCCCAAAATGTGGGTTGATAAAGTGGGTGGAAAGTCACTCTTCATAATTTGACACTGAACAATTTAGTTCTCTCCAATCTTTTTGCCCTCAGATTGCAAATGTTAAAATACAGGGCTATACTTGTCATACAACTTGATAAAGTAGTCTGCCTATGTTACACTAACTTGTTTCCTAAGCAAATGGAGGCAGTAAATCTTGTGAGTTAAAATTTCACTTCATGTTTTTGAACAGTTTAAGAAATCAGCAGCTGAGTAGCCCTTTTAAATAAGTCATATTTTTTCAGCCACAAGTAGATGATAAAAAACTTCAGTCTTCCAAATATACAAGTTAACATACATTTCACAGACATACAACCTTGAATATGAGTCTAGGATCAAATTCTATATTCCTTTCCCATGTATGTGAACAGCTCCCATTTACTTTAACAGGACCAGTAAGTCCACAGAGAGTGTGGTCAAAATTAATGTGTTCAAAACTGAACTTAAATGGAACATCATGCTGTCATCCTCTACATATCTGAAATACAGCTTGCTACTGTGACTGTTTCATCTTAATCTTGTGCATGCATTTTGGGCAATCATGCCTTTATCTCTACTTTCCTTCATATATTTCCTGAAAGTCATAAGTTTAAGGTGCATCACAAGAAAACTCGTTTTGCCATTTTTCACAATTTCAAGGTATCCAGCACCCCACAAAAATATGGTTCTAAGTGTTCTTATAAACCTAACATCAAAGCTCTCCTCCAAAATTAGATTCAGATTTTTATCCACATCTACCATTCATGGCTACTAATTCAGCTACATTATCCCGGTTTTCCAACTACTGCCTTTAACTGAAGATTAAGCAACTCAAAGATGTATTTAATTTTAGCTTATCTATTTGGCAAAGGTATTCCACAGAGCTTCTAAAAATAGAATTTTCATTACCTGGGAGCGACTGTGGGGAGATTTCTTGAACTTCTGGTGTTTTGGATTCAGCGGGCCATACTCGAGTTTCATTCTTAGCTAAAGGGACAAAGACATTAGAGAGTAACTGCAAAGCTGTATCTGCTGCGTTCTACCACAGATTTATTTCTGTTCCACTTCATTTTGCCAAAGTAAACCAACATGGATAAATGTGGAAAGCTGAATACCTTTAGGAATCAATGAACTTTCGCTGCACAATCAGTACAAGTATCTATCTAGCTATGTTAAACACATGCATTTTTGTTATTGTTTTGTTCATTAAAAGATTCCTTAAAAATAAATTTACAGCAAGCAATTTAATGCCTTAAGAATCATTTTGTTCACAGTGCAAAATAGTTTTCAGCGTTTTTTATTTGTCTAGCATTTGAGCATTAACAGCAAAAATGCTTTTCAAAATTCAAGGAGGTAATATAGTTCTAAGCGTTATACAAGAATAGTCTAATCACTTTTCATTTAAAATGGAATTGTCACACTAGTCGTGTCCTTACTTTCCTTTACATTACTTCTAACAATTACAGTGGTATGACAATAGCCTTCTACTCCAACAGATATAAAGATATTCCAGCAGTGGATATAGGGAAAAATTAATTAATTTTGACTTGAATAATACACCTGTTGTTTTTCTTCCACTGAGGACTAAGGCACTATATCTTGTGGTTTTTTTTCTGGACTACTACTCTTTTAAAAAAAAACAAACTAGTAAGTTACTAACTAAGAAACAGAAAAAAAATACTTTGAGAATTCAATAAATATGATATTCTGTGATGGAATATTTTGACCTTTCTAAATAAGACAGAATTAGAATAGTTGCAGTATGCCAGCAAATCATATTAGTCATAACTGCACACACAGCATAAGCCTTATTGCATTTTATTGTAGACATACGTCATTCTCAGGCATCAGTGAAGGCTATCTGTATAGATTTCAACAATATGTCTTTTTGTCAATTATTTTATACATTTAAATTGTTTCTCAGAATATTTTTGCTTTCCAAGCAATGACTCTTCCCTGTTTCACACTCCTCTGAAATTTAGTAGTCCCTTGTGTGTACACCCATTACTTCATGTTCCTACATAGTACACAGAACAGGACAAAACATCCCTTGCTTGCCCCGGTTATTTTCACAAAGTTGTTTGTGTAATCTACCATAAAGAGTGGCTCCAAAGTGGCATCACACCGGCTGTCTGTTTTTTATTTAATTTATTTTTTATTTTAATTATTTTCATTTAAATTTAGAAGTCCAAGTTCTACGCTCAGCCAGCTGAGGAAGCTGGACATCTCTGGGACAACTGAAGCTACCTTTGTCTTTTTCCCCATCTTTTGGTCATAGTCACATTCTGCCATTTTTACTGCACACACTACTGAACCTTATGACCTATCTGAAACCACAACATCGCTTTCCTAGAGAAAGATACAATTCTATTGGTAGGAAATGAAAACAAATAGAAAAGTTCTAGATACTTTAGTCCAAAACTAATATTGGAGATCTTAAAATATGGTTTACTAAAAGTAAGGGGTATGAAAAACAGATTTGTCAATACATGGTTTACTGAGTTTTAATGGTACCTTTGTTACCTGCACATCATATACATGTTAAAACCAAACTAGTAATGATAAACGCCTTGTTTTCCATGCTTGCTATTCAAAGAAAATATTAGTAATGAAGTTAACAATGTGATTAATTTTATCATCATGATTGAAAACCAGTCATGGTCTGTAATGTAAATACTGCAATTAAGGTTTTCTGCTTAGCTTAAGTTTTCAGTAGCCACAGATAATGCTAACATTTGTCTGTCAAATGCTGGTAAATACTTCCAGATACTAATTTTTAAGGAATTCAGCCTCAGTCCAAACATATTCTTACTCAAACACATTAAAATATTATTCTACTGTGTAGCTCTACCCTTACACATGCACAATATCTTAACAGGAACAAGCACTGCTATTTTCTCCCTGCAAAGCAAGCCAGTCTGAGAATGTGCCGTGGCCGGCAATGGAGCAACAAAGTAAATTCAACAAAGCAGGAATAAGAAAGGAAAAAAATTTGACCCAGATGTTCAGAATTCAAATTAAGTATTGAGACTAGCCAAGTCAAAAGTCATCAGGTCCAGAACTCTACTCAAGGGATCTGTGAAATGCACTGGGGACATTATTGAGGTTTTTAAAGATAGCTGCACCTCCCACAATGATGTTATTTAGAGATGATATGCTGGTTTACACATCTCAAACAAAACCCTCAATTAATCTTTTTCCTGCAGGTTTCAGGCATTTTCACAAGATACACATGAAACCTGCACTGAAATGTTCTAATTTCTGGCTACCATTTTTTCATGGATTTAATTACAGATAATAATCTCTTCATGAAACAATTTCTCACATATACTCAAGCCAGAACTCACATAATTAAAATTCACTGAAAATCTGGTCTCTCAAATGGACACACAAACTTTCATTTTTAAAGACATATGTTGAAAGACATAACCTATGAAAAAAATGAGTTACATTGTAAAACAAAACAAAATCCTGAAAGTCCATAAACGTGACTAGTTTCCTTCCTTTCCTCTAGGAATCAAAGCTACTGCATATTCTTTTAAATGGCTGCAACGTACCTTAAAAACCTATTCAGATGTTTTTAAATAAGTGAATTTCTATGAATCCTTATAAGCCCAAGCTAATCATTAATCAGACAAATAGAAAAAAAGAAGATAAAAGAGGGAAAAAAAAAGGGCTTTTCTGCTTGCATACATGACCTTACATTGCTACTCTTCTGATACTGCTCACGAACAATACAAGCTTAGTTCATTTCTGCTTACCCAGTTTTTTCCTGGATGCTTGAGGTATGTCGTCTATTGTCAGGACAGGAGGAAGTTTCTGCTGAGTTTCATTGAGACCTGGAACAATAAGGTGCACTACACAGAAAGATGTGTGCCATTAATTCCACAAGAGATGAAAAATACACAGTCTGCCCTCTGAGACATGTGAGCAACTACTACTGAACCATTGGGAGTTTAGTCTGAGTATCTGGGAAATGAGTTAGTTCTATTCAGTAACTATTAATCCCATTCGGTGCTATTTCCCCTTTACACCACTCACTGTATTACCACCATTTCACTATTAATCAGGATTGAAAACAATTCAATTCCATACTGGAGCATACAACCCTGGACTACTGCAGTATCACAGATGCTGGGACATTCTGTCTGGTGGGCCAAGAAGACTCAACACCAAATGTGGATAGTGAGTATCTGTTTGATTCACATCAATACATTAAAACTCACACAAAGCAAACTTAAGCCAAAGTTACATAGTTACATAAAGTATTTCCATATATATAAAGGACTAAATACCTGCCTGAATCCAGGAATAAATTAGTCACAAGGTGCATGATGCAGTGAGCCTCTCCTGTCTATTTCAGGCAGACCAGTACTTCACTACACTAAGCACTATATGATAGACTTTTCCCTACTTTTATGTTCTAAGCCAATATTGTATATTCTTATAGGTCAAATAAGAACTGAAAGCATGAAACTGAATGGCTTGACAGAAACAGTTATGCTCCAAGATCTATCGTCAAGCTGTAACTACAAGGAAGGTTATAGTATCTATCACTATAGCCTAATATCAGTACAGGTTTGTATCTGTAGATGGTATGTTATTATACTACCTTAAAAAACACAAAACGAACAACTCCTTATCTCAGGAAGATCTTTGACACACAACTTTACTTGAAGTATGAAAGAACTTCTTGGCTTAAACAGTGACATTATCTTCTTTAAAATACTATGACCATAAAATGACTCTATTTCCCTTAGGCTACATCATCCTTGAATCATCTGTACCACCATAAAATTTAACAAACACTGTTTGAAACAGCTGCAAAATACTCTTTGATATGCAAAGAAAGAACTATCAAGATCAAGCAAATTAAAAGCATTTACACGGCTCTAACTTTCAGTCAAAGATGAAAAAAAAATAATAAAAATATCTTGTAGTCACCTAATATTGCTCCTGGCAGAGAAGAACTATCCAAAGTTTTTGACTGTGTCCGATTTTGAATAACTGTGGAGACAACACAGGGATATTAGAAAATAATTTTTAAAAACTCAAAACAAGAAACAAAACCACACCCGAGACAAGCCTCAGCATTCTGAAAACCTTCCCTTAACTTAATAATTGGAGATGAGGACACCATCCTAATCTTTTCTGTATTTACATTCAGTTTAAGAGACTGCAAACTGTGTTTCCTCTGTATCATCTCTTAACTGTGAATCTCTTTCCCCTAGCATATCAGTTTTATATCCTTAGTGAAAAATGACATTCTATGCTTATGCTAATATAGGGCGAGCTCCAGGCTATTTCATTACCCTGCCATTCACAAGTCTTCAAAAAAAGATCCAGGTGAAGTAAATGCCAGTACAGTCATATTTTAATGGTAATTACTGTATTTTGCTTTCACACCATGCTCCAGTGTTTTCCTGTCCCTGAACTGTGAACTACCTCCAAAGACAATTTGCTTGATTTTGTTATTTAAGGTTATTCCCAATACAGTTTCTGTTAGCAAGTTTTCATCTGCAGCTCATTTCCTATCCACTATCTTTAAGTAGTTAATTTTTGAAGGTTACACTACTATACTACCTCTCACTACTAGAGAAAAACAGGCATTTCTAAAGGGCAGTATGTTTAAGCGTAGTGTAGGTATCTCTCTCCACTGACCAGGGAAAGGAGAAGAAGGGAGTCTAAGTCAATGACTTAGCTGAAGATACCCACAAAAAAGTTTGGCAGCATGAATCTTATTCATACTGCTGCCCTTCATGCCTGACTATCAAGTCATGCACAGCTGGGACTTCAACATACCTGGACAATCTAGTTGAAAAAGAATGGATACTAGCAGAAATCAGAACTCATTGGTATCCATGCAATGACTCAACTAAGTAATTGTTTATAATGCAATGTAATAGCTCATTTTATTAACACAAATAGGTAACAGCTTGACAGTATTTGTAATTAAAGGATATGATAGTTTATAAGGTTCCACCTATTCTAAAAGGAAACTTTCATGACATTCACATCTGAATCAGAATATTTTTTTCATTTTAATTTTAAGTTACTCTTGCAGAGCGTAAGAATAATTTTAAAAAATATACAAATTTACCTTGTTTGATTATTGTGACAGGGACCAACTTCTTATTATCACGCAGTGTAAGCTGAGAGAAGAGGAGGGGGAAAAAAAAAAAAAAAAAGAAAAAAGAAAAAAGCCTTGGGATAACTGCCATAATAGTAACTGAACTTTCTTAATAACAAAAATAGAGGGCTCTAATCCAATACCGTGCCTGCCCCAAGTTAACACTGGATATGGCTCTGGCCCTAGCCACTGAATGTTACACTATTGCTTCAATTCCCACGGGCTAGTATAGTAATACCGCATTTTGATTTCCTTTTTTCAGCTTGAGATGTTTTGCTTCATAAAAACACAGTACTGGACAGCTTAGGAATCCCCAATCCTTTTTTCTTTTAACAATATCCTCAGCACTCACTGGGGAGTAGTCCAGAAAGCTAAGAACAGCTGAAATTTAACTACAACAAAACATGTAAAACATATGCAATTACAAATTTGGTCACAGGATATAATTATATTCTTAGGAATAGTATATTTAGAACACAAACTATTCCAGAAACACGTGTACATTTGTAAACTATCAGCACTCTTGGGTGTATAGTCTGCTTAAAGTAGATTAACCCAGAGTCATTTAATTTGGTGAAATTGTTTCCAAAGTATAATTGGCCAGCCACCTATGTTGTTCTCACACTTTTATGCTAAATACTTGGACTTTTCTGGTGTTCACTTATCTTTGACTCAGATTACTTTTTGCCTAAGTGTGAATCTTTTCCAGCATTTTGATACCACAAAAATAAGGAACACATCAATGGACCCCATATTTATTAAAAGGAAGAAAACACCTGATTCCAAAGATTATAAATCAGTATTCATTACCACACATGGGTACTAAGACCAACTTCTGAAAGCTTAATAATACACTCAGGTGATGAGAGGAGGTAGATTGCAATGCCAGCAATATAAAAATGCTAACTACATTAAATGTGGATTTTTTTTTTCAGTTATACCTGAGTTACAAGAAATGAAAAACTTCAATTACCTCTCTGTGTTAAATCTACACTGCTAAAATCAAAATCAGTTAATGTTCATTTTGCACTTCATGACATCTGGTCTACTTCATGTGAAAGAACACTTGCATGAAAATTCAGCATTTGATGACAAAGGTTTAATTATTTACCTAAGAATAACTATTTTTGCTCTATTCTAAATATTAAAAAAAACCCCACACCTTTAAAAGCAATAGTTGGGTACACATCAAAGACATAGCAAAGTCTAAGAAGCTGGAAGACGGCAAATCTCAACAAGTAAGATGGACCTTTCCTCAGGGAAATGGATGGAGGCTGCTTATTCTATGAAAGCCACTACTTTCTGCTACCTAGTAACAGTTTTGCATTGGCATGAACATGGTTTGAAATTAAGGGAGGTTTCAATCATTGTCATTAATGAAGCATACAAAATAATCTTCCTTTTTTATTGCTTACTATTTTTCCTTTATTATTAACACGGTTTACATTTCTATTTTGCCCTCTAGTGAAAAAATTGCGTTGCAGATGATCAGCTCTTGAAGTAACCCTGCTATTCATGTGACTAACAAGTAGGATGAGATGCATTTATCAGAAAAAGGTGTTCATTTTATTGTGTTTCTCATCAGGAGCCCTACAATCAAATAAACAGCTCTCAAGTGGTAGTGAGCACTTGTGTAACTCTAATGCAGAACTTCTAATCATAATTATCAGTCCTTTTACTAGCAAAAGCTTCTTAGATTGACAAGAGCAAGCTTGTTGAATAACAACAGATTACTGTAATGACAGCAATATGAAAATGCTAAATACATTAAAATACATTCAGAATTTAGTTTCTCACTCAAGAACAAATAATTGACATGAAATCTCTGTTCCACAGCTGCTGTAATTACACTGCTCACCTGCACAAATCTACAAGTGCTGCACTTGAAATCTACCACCATATTGTCAATCATCTCTTCTCAGTCTCCCAAAAGTGACTACTGTAGATATTTTTATGTCTAGTAGAATTCACTACTTGGACAAACTATTTCAGAAACATCAGCACATGATCTGTAGCAATGGCACTGATCACTATATTTTCCAGACAGAGAATATAAAGCACATAGGTATTAGGAACATTAGTTATTAAAATGACTGCGGCATCTCCATGAATGAAGGAAGATGGCAAATAAGGTACTACTTAGTTTCACAGGAAAATTAGAGATTTAAGTTATACCATAAGTCAGGCATCTTAACTTCTGACCATATACCTATGGCATATTATATAAAGGACTGCAGTTCTCAGACATTCTGTCAAACGGCATATGGCAACATTACTTTTCAGTGACATTTGTTCTTTCTGCCTCTCTTATATTCCAATACTCTAAAAAGCCACAAATGACTGGCATACATGTAAGAGACTCCTTAAGGAAGCATTACGGTCAACCTGGATTGCGTAAGTTTTGGAAGAGCAGGTATCTTGTCTTGTAGAGTTTAACAAAGGATAGAAGCTAAGAGTCCTGCTTTTTGGCTGGAAAAGTCAAGGATGACCCCACCTTTCAGACTGATATTATGAAAATACAGGAACCTAATCAGACAGAAGAGGAAATAAATTTCTACTGCATTCTCTCCACCCTACCACCACCCATTGTTTATGAAGGGAAAAAGAATGACCATCTCTAGAGCTCTCCTTTTCTTCCCCTCTCTCATTAGTTGTAGCTCACAGCCCCAGGAGCTTAGTCAAACTTAAAGGATGAACCTGCCAAAAGAAACACAAGCTGATATGTGACCAATGTTGAAAGGGCAGAATGACTAGATGGATCGGTAACATCGCTTTAATAAACAGCCTTTAAAAACGTCTCCTTACAGAGAAGGGTTAGGACCATGCTGATATGAGCCAGTTGTGTCTTTGGAGCAAAATAAGGCATAAACAAAGCTTGGCCTAAATAACACTCACTCTGTCTTTGCTCTGATAATGCGATTACACCACTGAAACATACCCCACCTAATACTGTGGAAACTTAATTAATAACGTAAACTCAAGAGCTGACCACTATCTGCTTCCCAGCCTTAGTTTTATGACTTTTGCACCACTAGTGTGAGAATGATAAAAGAATTTTTAGAATAATCTACGGAATGTTTTCATGATATTTCTGCACAGGGTGATAAAGCAGTACTTCTCTGGAGCTAAGCCCTGTGAAGCCGACCGAAAAGACTAGATGTTGGCTCCAGTCCTCCTTTCATGCTTAAGCCGTGCAAGTATTTGGAAAACTGTTATAGCTCACTTTCTCAGGACTTCTCTTGCATATAAAATCCCTGCTTCCACAGAAGCAGCATAACAGTGTCAGGGTCCTGGCACACAGGGTTTGCTAAGAGGAATAAAGGAACTCAGCTTGCACTCCATATGCCAGAATGAATTACCTGGTCTTGGGCTGTCACACGTAGCTTTAAAGATGCTTATGGGACCAATGGGAAGAACAGTAAAGTTGATTTCATCAACAACACAATGAGATGAGCACCTTCTTGAATATCTAATAAACTGGCTTCATATTACTCACAGATAAAACATTTTCTCTTGAATGCGAGACATGACTATGTTGCCAATAACCTAAGCATTATACTGCTCTAACTCTGCGTGTAATGCTATAATTAAAGTATTACTGTCCTAAATGAATACCTAATTATTTCTACAAGAAAATGTATGTAATGGACTGTGGTTTGATTTCTGAAGGAATTCCAGGTCTGATAATTACAGACCGCTTACAATATGAAGAATCAACAATGAGGGACCATACATGACCATTTCCTACCATGGAAGCTCTTGGAAAATTAGAGACAGAAGAGAACTGTGAAGAACAGATTGTTCCCTTACAATAATCATCACTCATGAGTCAACCCTTTAAAACATCTGAAGTAACAAGGACTTCTACAACTTTTCTTGGGAAGTTATCCTGTAGTCTACCTCAGGGACAGTACCTTAAAGCAAAACAAAAACAAACCCCCAGAAGATTAGCTGCTGAAACTTGCACTTTGATGAAAAATTAAGGAAAGGAAATATGAAGAAGCCAATTTAATCTCAGAGTAGAGGAGGTAATGCTCAAGAGTTACCAATAAAAATGTCTATTTTTCACTCTATTAAAACTAGTCTACTAACAGGTTCAGTCTACAGACCCTTCATTTCTGCTTCAGCTCTTGGAAGCAAAAAGTATTTGTGTATGTGAATCCACAAACACATGAAACCCACCCGTGCTTGCTTGACAGCTGTTACAGCAAATGCCAGATGAGAAAAAAAAATGAGGAAATGAATAAATATTGATATTTATTTGTTTATTCACAAAAATCTTTGAATGCTTTGATGAAACAGTTAAAAATGCTACCTTGCCACCTGTAAGGATTTAATGAACTGCCTAGCAATCTTGATAAGGAAATTAAATTGCCTTTTCCAGCTTCCTCTGGTTCTGCAAACACTTGCCACGCATATGAGAACTATCAGAGAATTCAATGGGACAACTAACAATTTCAGAACTTGAGTATACACAAGATTACTCTATGAAATAACAGCACTACCTTATCACAAAATGAACTGACGACCACAAATATCACATGATAACAAACCTGACTACTACTAAGGGATAAGTAAATTTGAATGTTTAGAATCCACACATGGAAACCATCAGCTTTATCTTTGTTAAACTGGAATCATTATACATAATCATGTCAGCTACAGTTCTTAATCATTTCATCAATCCACACCTATAAACACTTCTCCATACGGTTATCTAGTCTTAGATTTAACAGATTTTTTATATTGGCAATTTGTGGCCATAATGTCTTTCTCACTTTACTCTAACAGAGAAGCAAAAATTTGACCATACAAAATACAGATCTGGTATAAAAAATAAGACTGTTTTGTATACCTGTGTTTGGGCATTAGGTACCAACTTGTACATATTCTGGAGTTGTCCGTTTACTTTTTTACCTAATTTGACAGAAAGATAAATAAATATACAGAATTACTTTTTGTTTTGTCCAAAGCAGAGCAAAGCAAAGCAAACCAAACGAAGTTTATTCACCTTTTTCAATAGCTAAGAAAGTTAGGAGGCTTAATTACAAGGTATAAAAACACACCATATAACGGTTTTGTTTGGTCCTGTTTCTCCAGATTAATTAATTCATCCGCAAGGCCTCCTCTTCACCTTTTGACAAAGAGGAAATGAAATGTATTCTTGTTGTTCTACAACAGAAGTGGTCTTTGGGACTTAGTCAGACGTGCCTAAGAGGATTCTTTAATAAAATTAATATAATCACAACACTAACATGCAAGGAAGAAACTCAGAAGAGGAATTTCTGCATCCCATCTGTCAGGCTGGTACTAGGACTGGCTAAAAGCAGCATGTTTTAAGGTCTCCAATAGTTAGTCTTGCTTTTAAGTGTGTTCTTCTAAAAGAAATACACATTTAGCACTGGCAATACAGCACCGAGTCTGACATGGTTTCCTTTATCTCAACAGATGAACAAAGTAACCCATGGATTTAATCTCTGAAGTTTTTCTCTTGGGTTTTTTCTCTTAGCTTCTTAGTATTAGGAGCTTCTTGTAATGCAGCTGTTAAGTACAGAGGAGAAAAAGTCCCTCCCAGGACCTCTTATGATGCTTCTTCAAACTTTGCCTACATCTTCCACCTTTACACTTTTCTGCTCCCTTTGCATTGACAGGCAAGAGTAAACAAGAGTCAAACTGAACGTTATTTCTTTACAATTCCATCCAAAACAGACAAGTAATAGAAAAAAATGCAATTATAAAGAAATATCAATTGAGAGACATTTAAGCTGACACACTATCCTGAAAAAAATCTTTCAAAGTGCTCGATACTTCTCAGGAACAGACCTACTATTGGCCTAAAGATAAAGGAAAACTGACAAAAGTTTCACACTGAGTTAATGAGAAAATCATGTTAAGATGGTCAGAAATAATCTACTTTCATCTTTTTTGATAAATTTGGGTTAAATAAATGTTGAATATTTGCCATGCCTTTTATGTCTTCCTCAAATCATGAATTAAAACCAGATTCTCCTCCCAACCCCCCCTCAACATGTTTAGTGTATAACAAAAATTTGGCCTGTGGATTCAACAAATACAAGAACATGCAACAGGAATTTCAGTTTATAGTAATTTAGATATTCTTCAGTGAGGAGAGAATTTACAGTGAAGGATGTTTGGTTTAGGTTGAGATGCTTCATAGTATATGAAAAGACCTTGAGTTGCTACAAGACAGTAAATTAAAACAGAAAAAAGGTGGCCATTTGTGCTGATTGGTAAACTCCTATGCAGACAGACGGATACAAATTTGTAATAAATGTTCACTTTATGTTTACTGTTCACAGTTTATGTATCTACCTACTATGCACTGACAATATGAAAGGCTTGAATCTGAAAAGAGCTGACAACTTTCCAATTAGAAGGCATTTTATCAGTAGACCAGAATGTAGACATACAGGGTAATAGCAAGCTCCCTGGATTTAGTTCCTGCAGAAGCATCCACTGAATACACAAGTCTACATTCTAGGAAAAAGAAATCTCAGCTAAATAGAATATGAACTCTTACAAGAAAGTATCTTTCAACCAAACTCAATCTGTCTCCATAATTTACAAGAATGATTCTCCTGGCCTATCAAAAATGTATGCTGTTTGTAAGAAACAGCATTTAGAAATACATTAGATACAAACAGCAAATTTGGTGATGCCAGTGGACATTTCAGTCAGCCCCGAACATAGTATTAAACAATAACACTATACACTCTTTATTCCCTCTTATTTTAAGCGCTCAAATATATTCCAGCACTTGCTCTACAGATGACTTTAAAATGTTTAAAATGTAGGGAAAACAGCCATTTAGTAAGCCTTCTTTAGAGCTGTGAAGCAGAGTTTCTTTTTGTGAGGCAGGTGTGGGAAAAGACTACCACCATTCTCCACTCTAAGCTCATGGTATAATGATGGTATTATTCTGGACTGCTAAAATGACTCTATGGGCACTGGGCAGGTACTTCAAAGTTACACCTTTCTAATTTATGACGAAGGCCAGTAAAGTTCTTTATTAGGGAGTATGAGGGCTTTTGCAGTGTTACAAGCCACCCTACTGCTTGCCTCCCTTATCATCAAGTATATCGAGCTGTGTAACTCGCCTACAACTTGAAACCGAGGTCCAAATCAAATTTCATCTGCAAATCTCATATGAATAAGGCCCTCTTATGAGAATTCCCATTCTTCACATTTCAAGTCAAGCTAGAAATACTGAGCATAGGAGTTTGCAGCATCTTCTGACAAACATCATGCTCAGAAATACCTTTATGTAAATGCTTGAGGAAAATAAATGAAATTGGACAATGTCTGTTAAGTCCTCTCTTCCTCTCTTTAAAGGCAGGAAGACTCTGCTGCTGTGTATTTCCTCCACTGATAGCAGTGATTCTTTGAGCAGTACGTGTTCTTTCAAGGGTTAATTTGATGTCACGTTGTCTGCATTGTCTTGGAACTTTGGAGAAATAGCTTAAAATATGACTGAGAGAACAGCCAGAGATGCCATACACTGCCCCCATGAAAACCCAAACAAAAGCATACGTGAAAGCACATGCTTCAACCACAATTTCTATAATTCCTTGACTGAAAACTAGCTTCAAATTCAACTTTCCAGCAGAGTCATAAAGAGCTCATTGTGATGCATGCTGGATAGGACAGGCCCTGTCTAGCTTTTAGGCAGCTTGAACATAAAAGCAGATATAAAAGAAGATTCAAACAACGATAATACTTTCCATGAACTCAAATTAGTAATGATCTTATTATTCAAGGCCCAAGGAAAAAGCTTGGAATCCAGACAGAAATATAAACATACATACTGAACACTTTATGTGTATCTAAACTAATCACTGTTAGAGTTCCATCAACCTGCAGCAGATCCTCTACTATTTGCAACGAGAGAACACCTTTCAGAAGAGTAGGTGGCAGTTTTTCAAACACAAACTACTTCTAGTTTTCACCTATTCCTAAAAGAATTTATTACGGGCATAAGGGATAGCATTTAAACAATGAAAACCTGATCAGTAGCTTAATTTAAGTAACACCACAATAGAGGAAAAAATACTGTCAAACTGAGTAGCTATTTGATTAATTATTGTCACATACTTACTAGACAGAACTGTCTTATGATTGAAAGTCTTGCTCCAAATACTATCCTCTACGTTGTCTTTAACTCCAAATTCATAAATTGTGTTTGGCTTCAGATTGTCCACCACCGTCTCTGTAACTGGGCAAAGCTGAAAAACCCATTTCTTGTCTTTACCCTTTTCTCTGTAGCGAACTGTATAGAACCTGCTCAACAAAACAAAACAAAACAAAACAAAACAAAAGATTTCCTTCACAAAGAAACTCACTACAACCATTTTTGTTAGGAATTACTAAAATAACTTCTACCCACCATTTTTATTGTTCTTTCTGGCCCCTTACGGTTATCAAATATCAGAAAAGCCAGGATATCTTCCCTGCAAAAGTAGTGCTAGCCCAGTCATCTCCTAGATACATATATGCTCCCCATCATACACATCCCAAAATCAGGAGTATTATACAAAGAGCAAAAGAACAGTGGTCTTATTCACAAACAACCATGCATGTGAGGTTCTGACCACAAACTGCAAGCTCATTTTGCAAGCAGTTCCTGTGATTCTGACATATGCCAGAATTAGTCAACTGAATCATGAGTCTATTAGCCATGAAGCCTCAACCAATTTCTCAAAATCTTCTATATCCGTCCAGGGGAAGGTGTTCCCCTCAAAATTAGTCCAAAAATATTCTCAAGGGAAAACCAGTAATAGTTGACATTTATATAATACATTCCTCATTCAGTGATCCCATTATGTATTGCCCACACTTCAAACAAGAAAGTAAACCAAGACATTACTTTCAGCAGTTTAAATCAATAATGTGATGAATGCTAACAGATTATGAAATTAAAAAACATTTCTACAGAAATTGCCCAACTAAATCAAGCAGCACCACCCTGAAAAAGTATGACTGCAATGCTAACCAGTGTAAAATAATGCAATGTAAATTGTGAGAGTTAAAGAACTCCACTGCCTGCTACAGTCTCATCTTCAATATACATGCTGAATCACTGCCAGAATGGGGTGGGGTTTTCTGTTTTTGTAAAAACAGATCTCAGAGAGATTTGGCAACTTTTTAATCCAAGTATTATTGGAAATTGTTACACATAATGTAAATAAAGCATATCCATTGTCCATATCCACCTTACATTTACATCGGCTAAAAAAGGATGAATTCCATCCAATTGTATTTTTCCACACTTCAATAGAGCACATTAAAGCCATAAAACAAACACAACTCTAAAACCCCAGGCACTTGCTGAAGAATCATTCAGAAGCAAAAAGAATAAGAAATTTGGGTTGTGAGATTTAAGCCAGGTATTATATAGGAAAATATATGGAGAGAAAGGAAGGGACCTTAAGAAAACAATCAAAAAAAGGTTCTTTAATCAACTGAAAAGGTATCAAAGGTCCAGATTAAAATGACCTAATTGACCAAATATAGTACTGTCAATGCATAAAGTTGCTTTTGCCAATTATAGAAGAGCACTTCCAGAGCAGAGTATATGTGAAAGATGACTGTTGAGTACAGGGAAGTTCCTACTTCATTGTTAACACGCAACCTAAGACAAGGCAAGTGCCAATCATGGAAAATGTTTTCATACAGGAAGATTCACTTCGTTTACATATTTTATCTTATAACTGTCAAATTTGTTTTCTTGGCAGCAAAAATATAGGTTCTCCTGTTTTAGTTGCTACAATTCAGCTCATCCAGGTATTCCACTGGGTTACAAAATTAATATTTATGTTGGCTCACATAGCTTTCTTCATTAGCTGTACTACTTTGCATTCAAAACAAGCCATACGCTAACCCAAACCTAGGAAAGGAAAGAAATGCAGTTAAGTGAGGAATATCCTCTCTCTTCTTACCGATTCCTGGATCCTGACTTCTGTGAGCTGTGCTCTACTCAAATTTCATATGTCAAGCAATAGATCTAACTATCAGTTGGACTGACAAAGAACGTTTTTAACAAGAAATTATTGGCAACACTAAAATGAGGAAAATTCCTCCTCCTTTATCCTCTTAATCCTTTCATACATCGTCCTACAGACATTAACAGACAAGAAAAGCTTACTTGAAATCTCTGTCACTATCTTGCAAAGGACGTAACAGTAATAAACAAATCCCATCTGCAACATAAATGCATCTTACTGGACCCCATACAGTCTCTTGGTATGGGATTTAGAATAGGTATAGACAGATCTATAATCAAGATGTGAATCACAAATAGAAGTAGTCATCTTCTTCCCAGCTTGCCAGAAAGAGGAAATTTCATTCGTTGTCATCTTCATCCTTACCTTTTCCTACCTGTTTTAGTTCAATGGGGTAGAAATAAAGTGATTGTATGTGATGGAAAGAAAACAGTATACTGACACATTTCAGTTATTGAACAGTCTAAATTAATAGCTGCATCAGAAATGAGGAGGAAAAAAAACCACGAAAAACTTGTTCACAATGAATAGGCTTTTAAGTGGCTGCTCCTACTTGCTTCTACTGCAGAAATGTTCTGTTTTTTAATACTGTCTCCACACCTGCAAATTCCTTCTCCCTAACATGAATTAAAATACCAAGAACAGTTTTACGTCAAAAAACATCCTTCATTAAAATTCAAGACTATTAAAAAATCTGACAAGAAGATTTTCATAGTTGTGCCAAACTATGCCATTAGAAATAGAAACATATAGCATAGAAGAAACGTGCTCTCAACTCCAAGATTCCAAGTCTGTAAAGACTTCACCAAGGGTGTAATTATTTCAGTGGAAACTTGCCACAATGAGTACTAAAAACACTGACTGCAATGATAGAATTTCCTCAACCATTTCAATAAAAAGCAACCAAAATGAAGTTCAATTTAATAATATGCAAGCCACAATCGTTTGAGTATTAAAAATATCCAAATTGTAAACAACATGCACTTTTGGGGAAATGCAACCATTTTAGTTTATAGAGTATAAATTCAGAAATGCCAAGTTTTGTCATCAAAGAACAATTCATTGTTAAACCAGACCAACAAGCTGCCAAACACAGTGTAATTTCAGTGCCTGCCTGAGAACATTCTACTGATTAAATTCTGTTGTCATTTTAATTTCTCCTTTTTCAAACCCTCCTTGCAGAAAAAATACAGTATCAAACCATCAACACATATAATTGAAGACACGAGAAAGCCATAAAATCCAGTCACCACTTGCGTATATAAATCCCTTTGTGGCAGTGACATACACACAAAAAATCTGCGCAGCTGGCCTGCTATGTGTATCAGAAGCTGTAAAACTGCTTGTCCTGGATTGCAAACACTTAAGAGACACGTCTCCATAGATTCCTCCCCAAAATGATAGAAGGCAGGCTGAAACGGAGTACAGCCACACTCACGTAGTGCTTCGGAAAGATACACTAGACTATGTCTCAGATAAAACACTTCCTGTTATCTCTGTGAGGTAAGAATATGAAAAACCAATCACATACTGCAGGACCCTAATAGCTAATATGAAAGCAATACACTATTCAAGTAAAGTCTAACTGGAACAGTCCCGGGAATGCTATTAACAGCTATGAATGTTAGTTTGATGTTTCAGCAAGGAGGTGGCACACCCAGCTACACTGGGTAAGAATTTATTTTAATCTAGATTCTCAGCATGTACAAAGACATGGCAATATTTAACTGCTTTTGATTCTTTATTTGTTTTGGTGGGGAATATGAAAAGGGTACATTAGTTTATTGACTAACACTTGTATTCCTATTTACCACAAATACTAATCAAAAGATTTCAGGGTTCACTTCAATTCTTTTCCAGCTAGTGCTCTATAAAACATTAGTGCTCTTTTGTTAAGCTCCATAAAACTTAATCTCTCCTCCTCTCTCCCTAACAGGCAATGTTTCACTTATTAAAGATACCTCCAAGCAAACCACCATGGGGACTGTAGAGAAATTTCACCTCCTCTCTTTTTACTAGACAACTGAAAGGATAATGAGCTCCAGCAATTTAAACAGAAGGTGGCACGAGCAGGTGAGGGGTACTGTTCTGCTTAGTTAATTGATGTAATAAAGCCAACCAAAAAAACCAATAACCACAGGAAAGAAATAAAAAGCTTACATTCGCCAAGACTGCCTCTCTCCATATGCGTTTGTGCAACACCATGCTATGTTTAATGTTTGCATTCTTGAAACTCTCTCTACATTAAAGAGCTTTAAGTAGTCTTTTACAATATTCTGACTTCACTTGCCTCCACCTATGATGCACACAAAATGTGAAATAATGGCAGAAATAAAAGCAGCAAAACCAATCTCATAATTTAAAGGAAACCACAAGAGTACAATATTACTCCATAGGCCAACCACTGTAGTGATTACTCTATCTGCAAAGTCTATGTAAAAGGCTATCAGCCCGATACAAAAGGATGTTTCTATCCTTTCTATGTTCACTTAACATAGGCTTTTTTTTTTAAACTCCACAATGCAGGGCAGTGAAACCTTTTCCTTCTTACCTTAGAGCTAGCCTTTTTATTACACAAGAAATCAAAATATGATGACCATTTTAAATAATCAGCCCACAGGGTTTTTGCTTTTGAAATGAAGAAAATCTTGCTCACTGCTAAGAGAAGCAAAATTCTAGGATGGATAGGCAAAACATTAAGTTTTCATACATCAGCATGAATGACACTGTGTTGCCAAGAATTCCAGTGCTATTTTTCCAATTGTTAACCAAATCTCTTTTCAGCCAGATTCCCAGAAAATGCTTGCACAGTCAAATATTTGGGCACAAACAATTAGATACTGGAAATCTTATAAGGCAGATGGTTTTATGAGATTTCCAGACTAGGTCAGTTTGTATAAATATCATGGGTTCATTTGGAACGAGATCCAAACCAAAACTCCAAACAATTTAATCGTGACTATTTTAGTCACACATAACACTAAACAAACAATTAAGCCTTGGAGTTATAAGAACATTCCTGCTCTGTGATTTCGTGTTGACATAGATAAAAGATTGTAAAACTTACTGTACTTTTGTGCATAGGAATGTAGTCAGATTTAAAAAAAAAGACTATTACCATACATAAGTATTTATTTGTTTATAGTCAGACTTCATTAGAAGCACAGCATCCATTTAGTGTTAGAAATTAATAAAAGAAATGGTTTGAACTATGATTTTTCAGATACTGAGTGTTTCACAAATTGGCACATGAAGTTGATTATATTGTTTCCTTTTTGTTGCCAAGTTTACTTTGAAGTAACAGACACTGACATATATAAAAGGATGGAAAGAATTACATTGCTGATGGCTACCAGTTAAGTTTGCAAAGCACTTTCTAATTTAGTTTTCACTTTTACATGATCACTAACATTCACTTCTATCACTTAAATTTTTTAGTAGAAAGACTGAAATTAATTGAAGAGTTAGAGGTTCTGAAGAATGAGAGGCTGACCACCAAGAAATCTTTCCATGTTTAAACAAGCTTTTAGCCTATACTCCAACAGCAGTAACTCAAAAACATCTGAAACTCAAGAATTCTATTTACTGCAGCATGTTTTCCTTAAGGAATTCTGCTAAGTTTAAAATACATTTTCTATGACATTTGCAACAAAATGCAGCTGCATAGTGACACAGATTTGTAGACAGGCACAAAAAGAGATGCATGCACATTATCTTTCTCAATTTAGGGGTTTAAAAACCCTACTTCTATGTGCTGTACAACATAAAGAGTAAGTATGGATTCTTCTCTGTTTTTCCCTCTCTCTCTCTATTTTTCTTATTTATTTTTTTTTAAGCATCAGATAAAAATTAAGCAAAACACAGTCTGTACTACTTGCAAATATGACATTAGGAAATTTAAATCATGGGCAAACAAACTTAAACAATATAAACGTGGATTTTTCAAAGTTCTTAACTTAGATATAGTTCATGAAAAAACCCATATGTTCAGGTTTTAAATTTCTATTTCACATGTATCTGAAAGCATGTTGTTTTTTCCATACAATCCACTCGATACAGTAAACTAAAGTATTCTATCTACAAACCCTGTTTTTGTCTTGCATGGTAAAAACATTTTCTGTTCGTTCCCCTGACTCCCCCTCCTAAAGAACTGAAGGTCAAACTCTGCATTTTTCTACCCCCTGCTCTGTTTTGGGATCTGTGGAGTTGTTCTAACCAAAGGAAAGGCCAAAAAAAGTCTATGCAATAGTCTATACTCTGGTTTTCAGGCCTAAATGGACAGTAAACATAGTCCCAGTATGTTAATTACTATGACAGCTCTGTCCACTAATGGTTGTTTGAACATTGAAGGGCAGAGAGGAAACAAGTCTTTCTACTCTGTTGTAAATATAAAAAGGAACTGAACATGACTGTGCACCAGGCTATCATGACTTGGCCATCCTCCCGCATCAACTACCTCATACTGGTGTCTTACAGAAGATGCTGAGAAAGCTAACCCCACATTGTTGGTGGAACCTTTCTGGTGTTATGTAGTTTTCATCAGTTACATAAAACTAATCGCTTGAGTTTTCTAGTTTGGGTCTTTTTGTTTCATCTTGTTTTGCATTCTAGCGCTACGGCTGTGACCAGAGATGATAGCCACTTGAAGGAGGCTTTAAAATTTGACCTTGCAAAGAACTTTGGTCCACGCAAATAGCAGCAATTATCTTTGCTTCCACAAGGAATTAGGGTTTGGGGTTGTCTTGCAGGAAATATGTAGCACTCTATTGGTTTATGCCCTTAATCTCTAGAGAGTTAAGCAACCAAAGAATGGTTTGTCAAAAAAGGGCATGGGAACTTTTTCTTCACGGGAGTTTCTTAAAAAGCATTTCATAGGTACAGAAGAACACTATGTACCCTCAATAAGCAAGCAATAATTTCACTGAAGCAGTAAAAGATACCAATGCTCTTTGAGAACACGGCATCTCTTATTCAAAATTCATTTGCTCACAAAACCAGATCTTCTAAGGAATATCCCATGGAGGTCAGACTCACACTAGAGAAAATCTTGGCCAACAGATCCATGCTGTTCCATATGGTTTTCATCTTCTGAGTCAGTAACCTATTCAACTAACTTATGTTATGCAACATTTGTACAAAAGCCTAACGTCCATCCGGAGATGGCAAAATCTAAGGCCAAGAACAGTGACTCCATTTCAGGTCATACAGAGTTACAAATCTAAAACTTGGTGGGATATTAGCTGACAGAACTGAGTTAAGAGGTCATAATTGCCACATACTGCCAATGTCAAAGATTAAAGGTTAGTCACTATACAGCAGTCTTGAAGATGATTAACAGTACGTTTCAACATGTCACAGTAAGGAGAACATGCCAGATGAAAAAGGATCAAGTGAAGTAGACTGTCCCTGCAATAGATACAAATGTTGATGAATCCATTATCTGACTAAGTCTTGTACTTTTAACACGATGCTAACTTGTTAAGGATGGGCTACTTCCTATTTTTTTCTTATCATACATTATCAATTATCATTCAAATTATTATCATAAATTAATAATTTTTCTTCTATACACTGACTAGAAATACATTTCAATCCAATCTCTGCTTGGAATTACAGAAATACACACCACGGTCATGTGGAGAACTGTTCTCATCATTTATACAAATCACAAGCATTTTGGTCCAGTAAAAGTAAACAAAATAAGAGGACCACCTAGAGTAATTTTTTTTTCTTCATTAGCTTTATTGCTATGCTTGATCGCAAAATAGAAACTTGCTTATATACCCATACTTTTATATTACTGTTTGCAATTTGATATAAGTGTTTTTAAACTAGCTACTCATGAGTGTCAGTGTATCTTCAGAGTTGAAGTACAGGGAGATATTCAAACAAAATGAGCAATACAACTCTTACAGGCAAGTCCTCTTATGGAGGCAAAAGGGAAATACATAGGTGGTACTCCAGTACAGCCTGACAACATTTCACTAAAATGGAGGGCACATTAAAAGTAAACACCTGAGAGGAATCAGCTAACTGGACTAAACAACACTTAACTAAAGAACCAGAATTTTGGGAGGTGCATACCATTACTTGACAGAAAGACACGGTAAAAGCAAGTCTCACACTAGAGTAGCAAACATATAGAATTTATTCTAAACGTAGCAAGACACCCATATCACTGCACTAAGTGGAAAACATTACGTACTATGTTAAAAGAGTTTGTGCAAACTTTAAGTCAATGAATGTCCACCAAGAATATTCAGTTACTGAGGAGAAAACCCAAAGCTGATGAAGGCATTGTGGTAGGCACCATATGCCTTGAATCTCCAGGTAGATTCATACAGGACATGGGCTTCTTCTGAAGTGTTCTTCCTTCCCATTGCACAATGGGTGCTGTAACTTTGGTGCTGACACAGCACACAGAGAGGATAAGTTCCAAGGTAAAAATGGTGCTAAAAGTCGTTATGGGGCCAGAACATTTTACACGCTCCTCCATGATCAGCTCATTTCTTTGATTTCTATCTGTAGGAAAATACTTGCTGCTTTCTTGATTGAGAAAGCAAAATTTAAGCCTAACCCAACTTTTATTTCTACTGAAAAAAAACCAATTAAATTACATGCTTCAACACTTCCCAATATTCCACAACAATTTCCCAATAAACATTAATTTTTTTTCAATATTGTTTGAAATTCTGATTGGTGATGAAGGCCCAAATTTGTTCATGAGAAATTTCTGAAGCTTGAAAAGGGTTATTCCACAACTTTTGGGAAGTAAGAAAAAGGTCATATTGGCTACATGGGTTGTTTTTTTTAACATAATCTGTGTTTGACATCCAGTTTAATGGTATCAATGGGAGTTTTATTATCAACACCAAAGTAAGCAGATTCAAGTCTAAATTTGACAGCTACAAAATTAGATAGATAGGGGGAAATAAAGTGTTCTCAATTATGCAAAGATGCATTAAAATAAAAAAGAAAGATGATAGCTGCAAACCAGATGTAGATGCACCCCAAATATGGGTGAACAAAGTTTCTTCTTGGTTTTACAAAAAGCTGCTGAGTTGAATGGAGCTTCAAACTATGTAAATGAAGACAAAAAATTTCTTCTGTCATAAAAGGAAGAACACAAAGAGAACACCAAAATGACAGAGCAGGAAAAGCACCTGTATTACAAATTGAATAATCGCAGCAGATGAATTTTACTCATCTGCCAAGAGTTACTTCAAATGTAATGATGCAGTTAACTGAGAAGCTACTCAGCACTATGACTTGTCTTGAGACTGCTACTTGGTGAGTCTTCCTGAGTTCCCCACCTACTGTACCACTCATTAAATAATTACAGCAAAACAAAAGTGTTATAGTAGAAGTGATCTTTTACTTACAACAGAAAATTAATGAAAGCTGTACTGTATCAGTATGAGGAAAGCAGTGTAGTGCTAAGACCAAATAGAGGAAACAAAAATCAAATAGCATTAAAACAAGGCATTACTCCCCTACCACAGCACAGGAAGACTTATTTTACTTCTATTTGGCCAACTTTAAACCAACATATTTTTTATAATTTAACAAGGTTTCTTTCAATTAGTCCAGATACAAATGAAGGTAGAGCCAAGGCCATTAGTGCAAGAAGAACAAAGGATCTAGTGTGAAATAGCAAGATTTGTACTTCAGCATGTAGATGTCTGACTAAATTTGCACTCAAGACCAGTAAAGACTTGCGAAGCACTTATTTAAGTAAACGAGAAAACTTACTTCACATTCAGAACTATTGCTTCCAACTTCTTAATTTCTGCTGTCAAACTTATTTCAGCCACACCAGACAACTACCCTGAATTAAATCATGGTATCACAAGAAACAGTTTTCTGTTACATTACCTGTCACTAGCACAGTTACTTGTTGCTGTCCAGTCATGCTGAGGGTTGACTAGGATGCCCCAAGAGAGGAACACAGACGTTGGGGTGAGGGTGCCAACTACCAGCTGCAGAGGCTTTTGAGTCTTGGTCCGACCTGCATAAGAAACATATAATTCCAATTACAAGTTAGTTTCTCTCTCCTGCATTATGTAAGGGAAAGTTTTTGCAGTTGGATAATGAAGTAAATAAAGACCTACTTCTCTTCTAAACTTGAAGGGAAAGGTACAACAGTTCTCTCTTTCACGGTCACTATTTCTGAAGTATGATTTTAAAAAGGGGGCAGAGACAGTGTCTGTGATCTGTTCGTTGGCTTCTCATTGAGGCAAGTGAAACATCTGCACGGAAGGGAGACTGCTCTGACTCTGAAGCCAACTGAGCATGAATATAGCAAAGAAATGCAGAACAAAGTTGGCATAAAGGAAGGGAGGATGCAGCTAGCAGGCAGGAGGAGCACAGATTAGGAGACTGCTTTACAAAGCAGGTGTCAGACACACAAGCGTCAAAAAGACTATTTTTTAGGTCCCCTCTGGACTTGCACAGCATTATTTCAACCTAGGAAGAAACTGTAAGACTTCACGTCCAGACTTGCAGATCCAGGGTAAACCTAAAGGAATTCTTGCTATTATTTGGTGAGAAGGAGGGAGATTTTTTTACTAAACTTTGTTACAAGTTTTCACTATTTCTCTTTTTTCAGCCTATGTTCCAGTTAAACCTAGTTTTTGAAAATGAAAATGGGTGGATTTGGTATGCTTAGTATAAGAATAAGCTATATACAAATTAACTTCAAACATGTCTGTCTTGGACTGCATCACAGAAGGTGTTACACAGACTTCAGGACATTAGGAAGTCTCTCTTTGTGTGTGACAGAAATAGTAACTTCTTGGCAGGATTCTCAGTAACACTGCAACTATGCCCATAGATAATTCATACTTACTAGAGCATTCTTCATCAAGAGTAAAATAAAACCTACAAAAATTTTTTGCTTTTAACCGTAGGCAAATCTAAGTTGGTGTCTGTATCTGGGGGCATTTTTCTCTTTTAACCACCTACTACATTGAAAATGTTCAGCTTTTGCATGGTACTTAACTTTAGCTTTGCTCTGAATGACGTAGCACAAGTCTCATGTGGTAAAAGAGCTTTCTTTAAATAAAGTTTAAAAGCTAATAGTTGGAAATGAAGAAATTATTTAGAGCAATTATTTTGAACCTGTAGTTTGTGGACTGCTACAAGCCCAAGGAGAAGCTTTGGTGTTTGAAAGATGATTAACGAAAGGAAATTCATACATCCTTTATATTATATTACATACTTCAAAAATCTAAAGGATCTGTACCTCCTCAAAATGTACAGGTGACCACAAATTCCCTAAAAGCTTATAAGCCACTGATCTAAGGGTTATATTTTTCACTGTTGTGTAACAGATCTGACTAACCTTCTTTTCATGCCTTTTGAACCCTAGTATCTCTTCACTTAACATGACCCAGTGAAAGCCTGATTTGTACTTTCAACCAATGCATGCGTGAACATTTAGAAAAGTTAACCATGCCAGGTGTTACTTTATATTGATGATTAATATGCTGCCACAAAACCCCCACAAACAAACACCACCACTCTCTACCCTTAAGAGGAAGTATGACATGCTTTGAAATGCTGTAGAACACAAGATACTTCCACAAGGGCAAGTGTCTGAATAATTTTCATATTTTCTGGACCAGTTCTTATACTCTTTCTCCATTTTTAAAGAAAAACTTAAACAGCTTGGTCATTCACCAAACTATCTGGCGAATCCACTAACTACAGCAAAATCTCTTTCTAGATCACCTTTTGAGGAAACATGGAAAATATGTGAGTTTTAAGGAAAAGAAAAAACAAGCTCTCATATAACTTGAAATCATGCTCAGAGGATCTACATATGATTTTGATTATGACTCTTATTACGCCATTAGATGCCCATTAGAGACTGCAATGATTTATAAACCATAAAACCAGGAATTACCTTGGTGATCATCTACATTGATCTATATGAACACAAACCATACAACTCCTCTGTATTAATCGCAGTTTGAACTACAATGCCTCTTCTAGAAATGTAACCAGCCTTCACTTGTAAATTTAAAATACCAGCAACTCAGACTCTACCACAACTCTTGGTAATTTGTCCAGTTTAACTATTCTTACTACTAAAAAGGCTTGCCATATACCTAGCTAGCATTAAACCACCAGCTGTTCTTACACCTTTGTATGCTGGACTGAAAAGTCAATTATCTGAATCTTGTTCCATAAATCAGTTTCTGTAGGCACAAAAATTAGTAATGTCCAAGTAGTGTATTGGGCATTTTTTTCTTTTGTGTTTTTTTATATATATACATTGCATCTGAAAGGTAAATCACCATGCTGGTTTTGGCTGGAATAGAGTTGATTTTCTTCACAGTAGCTAGTATAAGGCTATGTTTTGGGTTTGTGCTGAAAACAGTGTTGATAACACAGGGATGTTTTCATTATTGCTGAGCAGTGCTTACACAGAGTCAAGGCCTCTTCTGCTTCTCACCCCACCTCACCAGCGAGTAGGCTGGGGGTGCACAGATTGGGAGGGGACACAGCTGGGACAGCTGACCCCAACTGACCAAAGGGATATTCCAGACCATATGACATCATGCTCAGCATATAAAGCTGGGGGAAGACAGAAGCGGGGGGACGTTCAGAGTTACGACATTTGTCTTCCCAAGTAACTGTTACATGCAATGGAGCCCTGCTTTCCTGGAGATGGCTGAACACCTGCCTGCCGATGGGAAGTAGTGAATGAATTCCTTATTTTGCTTTGCTTGCACATGCAGCTTTTGCTTTACCTATTAAACTGTCTTTATCTCAACCGTGAGTATTCTTTTACCCTTCTTATTCCCTTCCCCATCCCACCGGGGCGGAGTAAGCAAGCAGCTGTGTGGTGCTTAGTTGCCAGCTGGGTTTAAACCATAACAATCACTTTTCAAAATCTTTCCAGACATACTGTTTTACATCTGGCCAAGAGCAAGAAGAAATTAATCCCAAGCAGTTACCAGGAATTAGGAAAAAAATCATATAAAGATCACAGAACCATAGAATAGTTTGGATTGGAAGGGACCTTTAAAGGTCATCTAGTCCACCCCCCTCCCCTGCAATGAGCAGGGACATCTTCAACTAGATCACATTGCTCAGAGCCCCATCCAACCTGACCTTGAACACTTCCAGGAATGGGGCATCTACCACCTCTCTGGGCAACCTGTTCCAGGCCACAGATGAAGGAATCCTTACTGGTAGTTTTGGAAGAGTCAACTTCAATACACCAGATCATTTTATTTAAAAACTTTCACCTTTTTTGCATGCGCTTGTGACCTCTTTAAACATCAGAAATTAGTATTCTAAATTTAAATTCTCATTTGCAAGAAATTTTTCCAATAACAAACTTTAGGTACTTCTTCATGTTTTGAACACCACATGTGTGACTAATTACTGACTAGGAAATACTGTCCTACATTTTACCTTCCCACATATGGAATTTGTGCATCCCAGTCAGACACCTACAGTTAAAATATCTTGTCAGGAAAACCCCAATAAAGATTCTGTATTCCTTTAACTACTTGAAGAAAGAGATGCAGTAATAGTAAAATACCTGAACAAGATTTCTTGTTATTTGAAATGCGTGCTGGTCTTACTGAAACCAAATACCGCGGCTCTGCATCTGTAAATGAAGAAAGCAGCAATTAGTACAGATGTGCTATTTATCTGAGAAAGGGATTAGCCTAATAATTAATAAGAAAAGTCTGATATTCAGTGAATGCTTGACATGTTATGCAATCTTTGTGATCTTTAGGCATGTTTGCTTTAAGGTTTATTCACCAATCATTCAGAAATATTCTAGCCATTAGGAAAAATAATACACCCATGCACAAAAGATTTGGCAATTCTTTTTGACTGTGACACAACAAATAGGTGAACATGGCAGGACATTCATGTAACATTTCAACGCAAACACTACTTGAAAAGTGAAGGGTAATGAAAACCCAGACGAAGAAGAAGAGGTGATGGCAAAACAGAAAAGTAAAACAGGTAAAGTAATAAGAGGGCAAAGCCTGCAGAGTACAACCAGAGATATCTACTCCTGACAGGAGCTGGTGGAACTTTTCCTACAATATTTTCTGTATTCTGTTTCAGGCTATACACCTTAGTTTTTCTGTTGTAAGCAGTTTCTCAGTAAAGAGCTGTCCTATTGTAAAAAGAATAAACAAAACGCATCAATCATTTAGGAGCACATACCACAACAGACTAATACTAAATCACTCAAGATTTGCATGATCATCTGGTTGCAGGAAACAACACAATGTCAGACATGCTTAAGACAGTCTCCACATTGGTTACTGGCTTGTTTTATAGTTAGGTTTACATACTTTTTCCGGAGACTTATTATGAGATTTAACTATTACGTGCTTTGACAGTACTGAATACTCTTTATGAAAGTAAAGTTATTACTAACATTTAAGAGAAAGGAACTAATATTTGTGTAAAACCCACAAAGGGCTGTGACTTTTACTGGAATCTCTTGGTACTGTTACACTAGAAATAACATTGCATGCAACAGGAAAGCAACAGTTTAAGTGATTTTCTTATTCAATAAATTCATCTCAGAGCCAAATTGTATTTTCCAGACTTTCTGACATTTATATTTCTATTGATTTTAAACCCCTATGCATTTTCTCCAGGAAAAATGAACCTTTTCAAAATATTTTTTAATTCTTTACAGGAAAGAATCTCTCTCCACCTTAAATCTACTTCAAACTTTCTTGCACCACTTCCCATAAAAGGTTCAACTGTTTCATTTCAAAAAGCTAACAGATCATATTACATAGCAAAAAACCCGAAAAGCCCATCCAAAGACAAGAATTTTTGCCTTTCAATTCAGTCTTACCTGAATGGCCTAAGTTTCTTTTAAAGTACACAAGAACTGCAGCTATTCTAAAGGATGCAGAGTCATCGCTACCTGGGTGTCAGTTGTGAACCAGCTTGGAAAACTACTGGAAATACTAGCCTTCATAGGACATAATGAAATTAAGCAAACCAAGTTTT